GTCCAACTCGTTTGCACCCCCCCCTCCACTGCTTGGTGGTACAGATGCGTCCGACAGAGGAAAAGCGACTTTAGCCTCGACCCTCAGCAATCAGAGGTAAGCAAACACAATGTGAACAGTAATAAAGGCACAAACACACAAATGCAAAGCATACAAGTACTCAGCGTACTGTTTCGAAATTGGTCACGACTTACGGTAGCAGGCAACGCCACGCAGCTTCAAAATCATGATCCTCGCACATTTCTACCAATGCTTTCAATGATTTGGTGGTGCTTCATCCAACGACTGCAAATCACCGTGACGAAAACAACATTCGCAGCAGCAGTCTCAGCCATCCTGAGCAACCGCTTTGTTCTACAAGACGGTCGGTTGCTTTGAGGTTAATAAGAAAATAACTCAGATAACTTATCAGGCCAATAAGCAATCTGAGTAAAATTGTAATACGATCAGCGTGTGATGGCTATGCAGATTCTAGATGGGAGAATGGCTGTATTACAAGCTTATTTCCGGAAATATGCCTGCAGAAGGAGGATACAAATGCCAAGTTTCCATCCGTCCCAAACTATTCCTCTCGGGAAAAGAAACCCTTTATGTTTGGCCGGTGTTGACAACTTTATTTAATATAGAGGTAAACATATTACACGAGTTTTAGTGAGATACTACATGATTAGCATCTGCTGGTCACATCTGAGGTTGCTAAATGCCCGAAAATTCTCATCACTGATCTGCTTTTCATAAGAGGTGCGCAGACGGAGCAGAAACTGGCAAAGTTTCTCTTCTTTCTTGCAAATTGTTCCCCCGTGTAAAGCGAGAACGTCGCTTTTGACCAGTGTCACCAATTCGATTTGGCATGGTTAAAAAATAACTAGAGGATCAACGTCTGATGGCCATATCGAGGTTGCTAGGCATGAAAAAGCCGTATGACAGAATGCGAAAGTCAAAGAGGAAGGAGGAAACAGCCAAGTTTCTGTTTCTCCTTCAAAACTGCTCACCTCTGAAAAATGAGCGGATTACAAGTAAGCGTT